CCCCGCCGCCCCCGCCGCCCCCGCCGTGTCGAGGGTAGTGAATGGCAAATTACACCGGCGCAGAGCGCAGCTTCCCCGCAGGACAGGGGCGCGCCACGAATAAGCACGCGGTGCACATGGTCTGAACGTCTGAACTCGACACTTGGCCAAGAGGAGTACAGGTGGGGGGTGCCGCGGATGCAGGCCAGCACACAAGGTTGCTTACTCGCACGGCGCCGTAATACGCCTCGGTAAGATAGGCAAGCCTGGTCGCCCGTGTGGGAGGGTGGAAGGCACTGTCGCAATCGGCCGTAAACGAGGATTTCAACTAACTGGTGCCGCGTGTATCAGCAGCTTATCGCTGCATAAAATCCAGCGGCCGCGCTCCTTTTTTTTCCTGCAGTCTTCAGCACTGGAGTTGTTGTTCGCACGTCAGGCGGTCAGCACAGCAGTAGGCCGCGCATGGCCACAGCTCACGGGAGTCATAGCGCAGACAGGCGCCGTTATGTCCACCACGGCCGCTAGTCTCCCTTCTAGTGCCGCTCAATTGCTAGAATCCATACTCATGGCCCTAGCAATCATCGCTTGCGGGCAGGGCGTCCACGGCAAAGGCATCAACTCAATAATAGTAAGTTAAGAAATGCCCTTTTAGAAGGACGATTTCAAATACGGTGTCATTGTTGTCGCTGTCCTAAGAGGAAACAGGTTTCATCTTTTTTTTTTTTCGAATAGGGACCTTACCATGCGTACGTGGAGCGCTTTTACTTGTGTGACCCCGAAAACCGGACGCTTCCCTTTAGATGGTATTTGCGTGGGTCTCACTTCAATCCATATAAACCAAAAGAGTTTCAACGCCTGACAGGCAATATAACGTTTATAAATGCAACTTTTGATGACAGCTGCTGGGTAAGACATTGCTAGTAGAATTGTGTGACATCAAACGCTTACAAGTGAATGTCAAAGTGTCCACAAAGTGGGACTCACTCTTTTGTGTGTAAAATATCTCGTCACGCACTTTTAAGTATGTAGTGTCACTTGTACCTTTTACACAAAACACCAAATAGAGGCGGAATTTAGAAACGATTATTTACCAAAAATCTACTTTTTTAACAGATAAAAGTAATTTTAGATCTTCGTTCGAATAACCAATGGAAGGAAAACGCATATATCTTCAATTTTAGAAAGAATGCATGTCGCGTTCTTAGAGAAAATGCTCCCAAATATTACGAGGCGGTTTACAAGAGAAGAGAAATCAACGGCCCGTGCATTTTGAAACCCGTAAGTCCACTTAGACTGCAAGTCTGATCTTCACAAGAAATAAGAAAACCAAAGGTAGGACGGAGGGGTCGATTTGCTGTGTGTTGCCTACTTTCAGGGGTTTTGTAGGACAAATTGCCTACCTACCCCAGGAGGCGATCTGGGCCGACCGGGGGGGGGGG